GCCTGTAGGCCCTGTCAGAAGGAAGCTTCCAGGCAAGAGCCTGGAAGTTTCCCTGTAGGGAAACAGGCTGGGGCCTGTAGGCCCTGTCAAAAGGAAGCTTGCAGGCAAGAGCCTGGAAGTTTCCCTGTAGGGAAACAGGCTGGAGGTCCGGGACGGGCCCTGCAGGGCCCGTGTGGCTGCACAGTATGCCACACCTGCTTGCCCCGCCTGGCTGCCCTGGCCTGGGCCCAGAAGCTCCCGGAAGGCCCCAGGAGGCTGCCTGTGTACAGCAGCTACTGGGCTGCTGGGCCTCGTTCGGTTGGACGCCCGACTGTCTCTGTATGAGGCTGCGAATCACGCCCAGGGCCTGCATTCTTTGGAAAAGCCCGGAGGGCTGTGGAAATGTCTTTGTTGCCCGGCCTGAGTTTTTCTCAACCAACTGGTGCGTCGCAACTGCCTGGACCCCAAATATGAAATTGACAGTCGGGGGCCTCTTGCGATATGTCAGGCCTGCCTTCATTTAGGGCGGGCACCTCCGCCTTCACTTAGGGCGGGCAATGCTGCAAACAGGGCCCCTGATCCTCGCACAGACAAAAAAAAAAGGAACACCCCCACTTGCCGATAACAAGGAACCGGACTGTTGCCCCCCAGAAGAGAAGGGGTGAGGGTTGTTTGGGGAAAAAAAAAAAGAAAGAAAAAAAAAAAAGCAGCACACTCAGCCCATTCCATATCGTACAGGATAGTGCCACATAGCAGCACATAGTGCGAGGTTACGCCCGCTTAGCCCCTACGGGGCCCTATCTGCAACAAGGTTGGCCGCCCTAAGTGAAGGCAGGCACGACAGGCCCTTCGGGCCTCATTCTTCAGGGTACCCCGCATCGGGGAAATTCAGACAGTTGCGTTGCGCCAGTTGGTTGAATGAATCCAGGCCCTGGGCCGCCTGTGTAAATGAATGTGAAGCAGGCCCTGGGCTGGATACGGGTACCGGGCCAAACACAGGCCGAAAGCAGTTGGGCGCATGCAATCACTTCAGGCCCAAGGCCTGCTCTCGTCGTGACTGGGCCTGTGCCTACCGGGGCCTACCGGAAGCTTCCTGGACTGGACGCAGGCAGGCCACTTCGATATAGGGAAGGGCCTGCCTCCTCATTCGGCATTGGGGTGCTGGCTGCATGCTGCGCTCATTGCTGGCTGGCTGCCACTCACGCTCTCACGGGCGAGCAGGGAGGTAGCGGGCAGCCATAGTCGAGCTGCTCCGCTGTAGGCTGGATGTGACGCAGGGTGGTCCTTGGGTGCAAGTGGCATCTGTGCGGTGTGGATCGAGGTTGTGAGTGTTACGAGAGACATACCTGGTGCTGGAAGCGTGCAGCATTGTCCGCTGTATGCTCGTACTTTAGGGAGCTGTTGTTGTCAACATCGGCATTGTAGTATTAGGCTAGATAGGGTCTGCCACAAGTAGTCTGGGCGCCGAGCGCCAATAGGATATCAACTCTTGTTCTTCGTTGATGATGATGAGAGACTATTTCAGCGTGGTCAATTACGAACTATTGGTGTGTTCTGATTTGGTGAATCTCGTGATGCATGACTGCTGTTGGTTCGAGGTCAAGACTATCTGTTTGATTGCTGGAGTTCGCTAATGCTCATCTTCCTTGCAATAGTACCAAGCCCAAACCAAACCACACCCACCCAACCTGCATAGCAGCTGGCGGTACTACATGGTACCACATGTTACAACATGCTACCATATAGTGCACCATACAGTACCGCATGTTACGACTATGGTACAATATAGCACTGTACCATGTGGTACCATTTGGTATCATATAGTACCGCAAGTTGCGACATGTGGTACCCCCGGGCTTCGCAAAACGAATATAATGGCCAGCGGGGTATATTCATATGCAAAGCCTGTGACGTCTATATGTTTTTTTCAAACTGAGGACAATTTTTTCAACTCCACCAGTTTTTCTCTACTGGAGAACCTCGCAGTTGAGAGGTATATACGTCCACAACTGAAGCGGTGCCCGGTTTGTCCAGAAGCTTCACGATCTGGGCAGAGACAGTATGGGCAGAAAAGAAACAACACTGCAGCTTAGTGTAGGACACCCAAAAGTCGTAGCAACAAACCTCCGCCGTGAGACGAGCTCTCATTCCTAAATCCTCATGTTCCTACAAAGCTGTGAGGTCTCTTGCGCTTCACCCCTTAGACAGAGAGTGCATCCCCTTAGCCCCCTTCCTCCTTCCTGCCCCATCTTCCTGATCTCCACAGCATGCCTTGCCGCCCCGCCACACGTGGTTAACCAGGGGTGTTATTTTCGACGAATTTTGCACCGAATTGCACTGAAACTGTCATATTGTGCTGATTTTTTGCTTTTATTCTTGTTTTTCTTTTTCTGTGATATATATGTGCTTTAGGGTACGTCATGTGTGCAGTTTTGACATGTTTGGGTCAATAATGAAAAAGTTGGCATTTTGTTGAAATCGTTGGATGACTCGAACAGTGTCTTTGTGTCAGGATTTCATAGTGTTTTTTTGTTTTTCTTTTCGTTTTTTTTGGCCTGTTTCCTTTTTTAATGTTTGCACTATGGTCTCATATCGTTCGTTTTTAAAATTTTTGATGAAATTCGCACCGCAATTGCCAACGAAAACGGCGACTATTTTGCACTATGGTCTCATATCGTTTGTTTTTAAAATTTTTGATGAAATTCGCACCGCAATTGCCAACGAAAACGGCGACTATTTGGGCCCCCGTTAACCGTCTCTCGAAGGATTGAGAGCACAACAAAAGACAACGCAACTCAACTCAGGCTAATTGTCACTCCTTGTTCAAAACTGATTTCCCAGGAAGGGAACAAGACTGCCTGCTTGCCTGGTGAGGATTTAATGGCTGCCGCTCCTGCTATCGCTGCTGCTTCTACTGCCATTGCCAATTTGCCGCTGCTACTACTGCCGCTGCTGCTTCTGCTGCTTTTCCTGCACCTGCTGCTTCTGCCGCTTTCCATGGTCTACTGTGACTTCTGCTTATGCTCGGGCTGGTGCTGCTGCAGCTACTGCTTCTACTTCGGCTGCTGTTGGTTGCCTACACTAAAAGGTTCCCTGGTTGTCCCTGCTGCAACAAGCGCAGTCACTAGACCACTGTAGCTGTTGGACTGATTGCAGGCTAGTCCACTGTAATCAAGTGAAAGACAAGGACAAAGAAACATAATGGCACATTGGCCATCTACACCTGAAATATGCCAACAATCCTCCCTTAAAGGCGCTATGCTACGCTAATCATCCTACTCCCTTGGAGAAAAGAGGGTGACATCAGACATCGAACACAGCATACAACACTCCCCTTCCCTCCATGACCCTCGTACAGGCAGGCCACTTCCCACAATCAAGCAAAGGAAAACTTGAAACAATCAATCCCATCACTCAATCAATCAATATCCGAACCTGACCACAAAATCTTGCAGAAAAAATAAAAACTGGCAAGAGAACCAATCAAGTGCACGGAAACTCAAAAACAATCAACGGCAATATATGAATTGAAAAATTCCGCTCCTTCTCACTTTATAGTATATAGTACTATATACTGGCATGAGCACCATCTTCGAAATCGCGCAAATCACCCCCTCTTCCGTGTATCAATCTCGCTAAAATGTCGCTGCTTCATGGGGCTCCATCTGCTCCCCTCCCCTCCCCTCCCCCATGGATTTACCAACTTTACCTCCATTTGTTGTTGAGCTCCTGACTTCTCGACAACAGCCCCGTGACGAGAATCGCTATTAAAAGCACCACAATTGTGATGACCAGCAAAGCGTAGCTGAAGTCTTCGCTCAATGTATCGTACATCTTCGATGGTGCTGTCCGCATAAAGAATAAGTCAATACCATGCGCAAATACCAGGCATGTGGACTCTAGCCTGGTCGGAAGCGTCACAATTTCTCGAATACCCATCACTTGATAACCATGCGTCAGGTGGCTCTGTTGTGCAAACACAGCAGACATCACACATACCACAAAGCGCCAAAGAGGTTAACCTAGCTGCACAACAGAGTGGGACACGCATATGCCGTCCACAGTCCATCGAGAGTTCAAATACTGGCGGGAATAATAATGTCACAGCGTACAGGAACTTTAGTATTTCCTAATTCCACTAAACCACCACTACCTCCGAGCCTGTTTTTGCCGGCCCTGATTTTCACTGCGCACCGAGTTTTGCCGAGCCTGGATTCCGTTTTGTTTCTTTTCTGGTACTCTCCTGAAAAAAAGAAGAAAAAGCACAGCCAGACTTTCAAAAAACAACCCACTCGCAGCCAAAAAAAGAAAAACGAAACACCCCTTTGGATGTGATACCTGGTAGATGCCCAGCCCAAAGTCATTGTGTGAGAATGCCCTCAGTGAGGGCATTACGGCAAGGGTCCGCGAAAGAAGGAAGACGGAAAAAAAAATTCAAAACTAACTTAGGGCGGGAAAGCGGGTTCATACATTCTGCAAAGTGATAGTGTGGGCATGCCCTCCTCCACAAAGTGTCAGCAGCCCGTGGACTGTGCCGTGCCTCCCTGGCGGGGCACCAAAACGAAAAAAAGAACGAAAACAAAAAACATGAACAATGAAAACCTGAAACTGGCCACTATAGCGGTTAGATACAAACGTGTGAGTTTTGGTGTGCGTACAACTTGGTGCACAGCCTTCCCGGACATGAGCTCTTGTTTTTCTTTTTGTTTTTCGAACGGGCCCTCAAGGCCCAACTGCCAAGCCTCGTCCAACCCCCGAAAAGTTCGGAAAAAGTGGGAAAACAGCCAGTTTTCCCATTTTTCCCATTTTTCCCAGTTCTCCGGTAGCCATCAATTTAGAATCTGCATTGCCTCCACCAAAAGCTGCTCAGAGTAACCTTTCCTTGCTCTTTTATTTTTTTCTTTCTTTTTGTGTTGAGTGCAGACTCTGCAGAGTCTTCCATCTGCTAATTACAAATTTCTAGACATTTATCTCTCCCTTCCCCCTTTTTTTTTCCCAAAAAGCGCGATGGCCTTGAGATATCTTTGAAGTTTGAACTGATCACCGATCAGCCCCAGGTAAATTCAGAGTTAATTTTCGCTCATGTGAGAAATGTGTCATCATGGGGGCCCTAGACAACATGCACATGTTCTGGACTGTGGCCCCCAGCAAGCCTCATGCCCACCCTAAGTGAAGGCGGGCCTGAATATTCACGAGAGGCCCTTATCTCAGCTTTTTCCACTGGGGGTCTCAGACAGTTGCTGCACGACAGTTGGTTGAAGTGCAACCTGAGTCTTACCCTGGGCTCTTCCAGAAGAAGAAACTGCGCCAGGCTGTTGAGCCCAGGGCCAGGGTGGTTGTGCCCTGGGCACACACATTTTGAGGCCGACAAATCACGAAGTGGCCAAGGACCAACGAGAAAGCAGCACTGTCGACATATCTACCCTGTGGGCCACTGCAAATTCAGCAAACAGTCGGAGCCTGGAAAATTCTGGGTTTGCCCAACTGAAAAGGGCCCACGCCCTCCACTGTCGAAGATGGGCCTGGGCGCAGACACTGGGGCCCGACCAGAAGCTACTGGAAACTTCCACGGCCAGGCCCAGGGAGTCCAACAGCAGTTGCCACTTCCATATAGGAAGCGAGCCAGCCAGGGAAGGGCATTCTGGCCTAGGCAGGCAATGTGGACACGCTGCTGCGCTCACAATCAAGTGTCTGCATGCGGTGAGGGGCGCATGCCGGGCAGCAGGGCACTAGCGGCCATAGCCGGGCTGCAGGGCGTGTAGGCAGAGGAGGGCAACAGGGGTTCTTCGGGAGGAGGCGCAGAAGTGGGTGGTCAGGGGGTGATGAGGGTGACGAGAGTGCGTCCCTGGTGTACTAGATGACCTGTTGCAGCTTCGCTCGCAAAAACAAATATGATGGGTGATGCACTCATCGTGTAGGCAACTGCCCAATGCAATCTCTCTCTCTCTCTCTCAATCTCTCTCTCCCACCCCCTCCCTCTCTCTCCCCCCCCCTCCCTCCCACTCCCGCATGCACAACTGCTGATCTTTCGGGAGCCTATCTCTATCTCCCTTCCCTCTCCCCCCTCTCACATAAGACTGCCTCTCTCTCTCTCTCTCTCTCTCTCTCTCTCTCTCTCTCTCTCATATGTGGCACAATCTCGCGACTTTAAC